GGCAATCTGATTCAACTGTCCCGGCAGGAGGCTCATGATCTGGCCATTTGCAAGTGCGTGTACGGGGTGGGGCATCCAATTCATCGGTGGGGCAAAGTGCTGGATCCAACGGCCAAGACATGCGATCAACTGATGGTGGTGGCCGCGGTGTGGACAGTGCATTAGCTCAAATCCAACACTGAACACTGTCCGGACGGCCTCGTATGCAGACCCTGCAACGAGTTGTACTGGGCCGGGCAGGAGGTCTAGGACTTGGCCATTAGCAACTTTCTTCAACTGGTCGGGCAAGAAGTCCACTGGTGGACTGAACTTCGCAAGTGACCTGGCAAGACACTTGGTCACCTCAATGTGGTTGTGTGTGCCCGTGCACGAGTGCACCAGCTCCCATCCCAGGTGGAAAAGAATTGTTAACTGGCTCGGCAAAGCAATTCTGTGCTCACCGAAGTTGAGTCCGAACAAGGGGGTCGACTGCCCCATCAGGCTGAGCTTGCAGCGGAGATCCCCGAAGTAGATTTTGAGTTCATGAGCGTTGAATGTTCTGATCGAAGGCGCAGCACTGTTTGGGCAGCTGGCGCCGAAGTCCGAGAAGCCTTGGCTCAGAATCGCGACGGCCTGTTCCACAGTCGAGATTGCGTTGTTCTTCAACCATTCAGCCTCACGGTTTCACGGTGCTACATCAAAGCATCAGCAAGGCAATCGTACAATTTCGACAGGCTGTGCAGAGACATCAAATACCCCACCTTGTCTTTAGCAGCGTTGTATCCATCCTTCAAGGTGTCAATGGGGTTCGTTACGACGTTTACCGCCGCATTTCCTGCATCCCGACCCGAGTCGACGATAACGTTGGGAAATCTCCTTCTTCGGTGCTTCCAAAATCCCTTAGCTGTCGGCAACAAGGGAAAGGGACGGAGCATAACAATGGCACCAAGAAACCTGACACTTGCACAGCAGGCAGCAGCAACGACTACAATGAATGGGACCAGTCACAGATTCGCGATCGGACGACGACTCCTGGGACTCTCCGGCGATCTCCTCTTCATGACGGAGGATGCCTGAGTTGCCCCAACAGGGCCGGCTCTTGAACTGCTCGAAAACCAAAGGTTTTCAGCCAAGTCACCTGTCTCTCGCTGACGGTGGTGCTTGCGAAACACTCTCTTGACGACGTCCTGGGCTTCCTGCAGCCGTGTTTGTGCATCTTTCTGCTCCATCTCGAGCAAGGCTCCGCCGTCTTGCGGCTCGTGGTTGCCAATCTGGGCCTTGAGGGAATCGATCTCCTTTTGCTGCGAGTCGAACTTTTTCCGATACGATATCAGCTCGGCTTGCTGCATCTCAGCAACCGCCTCGAGCTGTGCGACCTTCACAAGAAGGAACTCCAAATTCTTGGCCAGCGCTCCGAATCCCTCGCTAGGATCACTCGCGTTCTCCGTCATGGGGTTTGACATGTTGTTGATCTCGTCCATGTCCTGTTTCAAATCATCAGCAACGACCTCCTCCACAATCTCCTGGACGGTCGCATTCTCGGAGTCGGTCACCGGGATGGGAGACCCCGACAGCTTGAAGGACCGGGACGTGGCCCAACAGAGAACCCAAGCCAAGACCGTAAGGGCCCTGAATGAGCCAAAGGCTCTCGAAGAGCCGAGCTTCATTGATGGTCAAGTACGGAGCTAATGGAAGATTCAGCTCATGCACCAGTGGCTCTACATGAAGTTACGCCGCGGATTTTGAAAAGGAAAGCGTCGGTCATCAAAGAATCAATCTCCCTTGCAACTCTTCAAAGTAGGTGTGCAAACTACAGCTAATTCAGCCATGCAGCCAAAGAAGCTTCTAGTTCAGCTGGGTAGTACACGGGGGGATTCATTGCTTGTGCTGAAACGTTGAGAATGTAGCTGTAGGGTGCTGGGGGCCTCATGACATGACACATGAGCGGTTATCAAAACCTCTTTTCAATCCGTTGACGCTATCAACCCCTTCCGCGTTTAGGGTGCGCGCAGCTTCCGCGGAGCCAACTGTCCCTTCCGCGCGGGCCCTTGAGTGAGCTCTCAAGCTTTTAGCCTTCCGCGCGCCCTTCCGCGTTTCAGGTCTTTGCGCAGGACTGAAACCCAAGCTTGCTGAGATTCTCTTCCGTGCGATCGATTTGCGACAGAGTGTACGGCAGCAGGGCTATGAAGTAAAGGATGCTGGGCGGAAAAGAACGTAGCTAAAATCGCTTGTAGGACTGTCCAGAACGATAACACGTCCAGAATCAGGTTTAAGGCCTTTGGGGTAGGGAAGGATTCAAATCAGAGCCTGCTTTAAGTGGGTGGGCTTCCGGTTTAGAGTTCGGTTTAGCTCTTCGATGGTTTAGCTCTCCGCTCACATGTCACTCTGCGGCTGAAGGCGTCCCGATCGTCCGGACCCGCAAGCTCTCATTGAGGCTGCACACTTTTCTGGCCGCAGGCCTTCACTTTTCCTGGGCAGTGAACCGCTTCACTTAGTGCCGGTCGCAAGCTTCCAGTTCAGGTATTCCATACTGGTCCACATCTCGTCTTCCGAAAGGGCCCGTTTCCACGTGATGACCTCCATGACACC